AACGCTCTCGGACAGTCGCCGACCTATTGGACGTCATGGGGATCGTCACATATTGACGTGACCCTGGCGACTCCGGCCATGAGCCAATTCTTCGGCGAATGGAAGGTCAGGTGCGACTGGACGACGAGCGACCACAGTGCCCTGGACATCCGTCTGAGGGTGCCGAGAGTCAGAGGCAATGACCGGCCTACCTCCAACTCTCGGTTCGACGCGAGTCGTGCCGACTGGGAGAAGTACACCGATAGTCTCATCGACCTTTCGGTGTCGAGATTCGAGGTCCTCAGTCCGTAGTCCGCTGGGGGAGGGGATGGAGGGCTTCGCGAGGTCTATTTCTCAGGTCTTAGTCGAAGCCTCGGAACGAGCAATGCCCAGGAAGAGGCGTTTTAGAAAGTCCAACTCGTAGTGGACGAAACAATTGACGATCCTAAAGAAGGACGTCTATAGGGCACGGCGTGCCTTCCAGCGGGAAAACGCTGAGCCGCTCCGTGCGTCCGGCCGAAGTGCCTACCTCTCTTCTTTGAGGAGGTACACGAGGAAGATGCGGAAAGCGAAGCGCAACAGCTGGCGGAAATTCGTGACGGAGGTGGGAAACTCGGAGCCATGGGGATTCGTGTACAAACGCGAGGCCCGGAAGCTCCGAGTGGACGAAGTGCTCAGCAGCCTCCGCCGCGATGATGGCTCCTCGACCAACACCATAGAGGAGACCGCCAGGCACCAACTGGAGGTGCACGTCCCTGATGACTGGGAGAACGACGACACGCTAAGGCAGCGTGAAATCTGGGGAAGCGCGTTCATCGCGCCCGACGGAGACGATGCCCCGCTCTTCACGGAGGCAGAAATCGTTGCCGTCGCGAAAACCCTGAAAGTCAGGAAGGCGCCTGGCCTGGACCTTGTTGAGGTTGCAGGCCGCCATTAAGGTAATCCCCGGTCAGTTTGTTAGGCTTTTCAACGGGTGCCTTCAATGGGGCGTCTTTCCCTCGATCTGGAAGGAGGGCTCACTTAGAGTCTTCCTAAAGGACGAGGGTAAGGACGCAAAGCACCCTAAATCCTACAGGCCCATTTGTCTCCTTTCCGTCGTAGAGAAATTCTTCGAGAAGCTTCTGAAGAAGCGACTCGACTAGACGTCGATGGCGCCGGGGAGACTCTCCGATCGGCAGTTCGGATTTATGGCCGGAAGGTCGCCGGAGGACGGGATCGTTGAGCTGCGTCGGATAGTCTCCGCCTCCGAGCGGAGATACGTCTTTGCGCTGTTCTTCGACATAGCTGGCGTCTTCGACAATGTCTGGTGGCCACTAGTCCTGTAGACCTGGAAGAGGCTAGACTGCCCTCGAAATATCTTTCAGGTTTTCCGCAGTTATTTTAGCGATAGGAAGATCAGCATGTCCTTTGGAGACATTCAAGTCTCCAAGGACGCGAGTAGAGGTTGCCCTCAAGGTTCTGTTTTAGGTCCAGCCTGCTGGACAGCTGTGTTCGATGGGTTGCTCCGCGAACTAGAGAGGGAAATAGATAGGTCCTTTATCGCGTACGCCGACGACCTTTTGGTCACGGTCGAAGGCGACTCGCGTAGAGAATTAGAAGAAATAGGGCAACAAGTAGCAAATATAGTTAGAAATTGGTGCGAGGGAGCCAAACTCCAGATCTCATCGCGCAAAACTGAGGCAATTGTACTCAGGAGTGAACCGATCAGGAGGGCTCCCATCGGTGGACGGGCAGGAGCGCGTCCAGATCGAAAGCGGAAAGCCCACTGGGCCAAAAAGACATATCTCGCGGCAAGACCACCGACCATTTGTTTAGGAAATGAAAAGATCGCGTTTAAGAAAACAGTTAGTTATCTTGGCATCCGTTTTGATAGGGACATGGGAGTATCCTGCCATTGTAGGTATTTGAGCGACAAGGTCGGGTCGCTTTTTAATAAATTAGCTAGGATGGCGGGATGTCGGTGGGGATTACGCTTCAGTGCGCTCTCTGCAATTTACCGGGGCGTGTTCGCGCCGACGGTGGCTTACGCCGCCGCGGGGTGGGCCGACCTGTGCGCGGGAAGTGACCTAAAGGTCTTCAGGACCCTGCAGCGCCGGGCGCTCATCTCGACGACCGCTGCGTACCAAACGGCGTCGACGGAGTCGCTCTGTGTGGTTGCTGGCGCGGTCCCCGTTGACATTCTTCTCAGCGAATACTCGGCGCGGTATATGGCAAGAAAAGAGATGGATGTCAGGTTGGGAAATGCGGTAGTCCCGTTCACCGGGAATCTTAAAAAAACCCAGGGTCTCATTAAGGGCGAGGCGTACAAGGTGTGGCAGGCTCGATGGTCTTCTTCGAGCAAAGGCCGCACCATGTACGCCTTCTTCAATGATGTGGAGCGCAGAGTTGATGCGCCGTGGATCCGCCTTGACCACCACGTAACACAAATGATCACCGGACACAGCAGGTTCCAGGCACGCCTTGCGTCCTTGGGCCTT